TGCCCACTTAAAGTCCAGAGTTAACTTGATAGCAGACGCTCTGACTACTGCTAATATTTATTGAGGTATCAAATCCAGTTAGAAATAATCTTAATGCTCATATCTAAAACGCATGTTTGTGCCGCATGCGAATTAAACTTGAAACGCTCACGCAATTTAACACGAACGCCAAGTGATATCATTGCAAAAAAAAAAAAATTTATATAAAAGACAAAAGTAAATAATTTACAAAAATATATATTAAATATGTTTATATTTAAGTATTTTAAAAATTTTTCTATTATCACTGAAGAAACCATAATTACAATATTATTTGGACCATGTTTCATCAAGGCTCTAGAAGCTTAGAGGCTTCTAGAGGCTTATTTAATTCTGCTTAAAAGAGGTGGATTTAGTTTAAGTTTTGAGTAAAAAAAAAAAAATACAAGCTCCCAGTTCAATTTTTAACCCCCATGTGATTCAGACAATTACCAGAACCCATTGACTGGATCAATCGTCTTCATTTATCATTTTATTTGTCTCTTCTCTACGGTTCTCGCGCATTAGATATATGCGCTAAAATGCATTTAGATAAATTTAGGTTTAGAAGATACTAAACCTTGTAACTTTACTTTTTGTTAAAGAATCCTTTGGATTCTTTAATAATAATAGTTCCTTAGTTCCTTAATTATTCATTTTTAATAAGTGTGGTTTTACTGGATTCAAGTTTAGATTGTGGGTGAGTGGGTTTTGATGCCAACCACCTATAACAACTGATTTTATGTTTGTTTTTTTTTATTATTTTATTTATTAATTATTTTGTATTTATTATTTATAACCATAGACTCTGACTTTCTAGAATACATTATTGAGCAAACAACATTTTAGTGTAGTAGTAAAAAATATTTTTAGTTATAATTTAAAAAAATTTCTGATCATAGCACGTTTAAAAAATAAATAAGATATTTTCGAACTACCCTAATACATAGTTCTTATATAAATCGACGATTAAGGAACGTGTTTTTCTTAGAAGCACTGCTTCATTTTTAATTTTTATTTACAACATTTAAGTTAAAATTTTTAATTAAATATAATTATTTGCTATAGAAAAGAATATAGATGATAAAAGTGATGTCGATCGGTTTAGATTTAGATATTGACTGTGGATAGTTACTATTTTTCTTATTTCAAACAATTTTGTTTAATGGAGAGGCTTCGAACAGTAGTGAATTGCAACAAAAAATTAATTTTTTTTTTTAATAAATTGAATTTTTGGCTGATCAAAAAACTGTTTCGAGTATTGTCAAATATTCAACATCAGTGGTCTTTTCGGATTGCATACATTTAATTATTCATAAAAAATTTTATGAGACTGCAAGTATCTTACCCTGCTAAATTTGAAGCTCAGAGTCAGTGTTCATTATTCGACTGTCCCAAATTTGTTAATTTGCGTTGAAAGTTCATTAATAAATTCGCTGGCTGTGTTGTATTAGAATAAAATCATAAACTAGTTGTAAAATATAACTTAATTAATTAATTATATTAAATTTTTAATTGTTAAATTTCAATACTATGCAATTGTAAATTATCTCTGTAAATGATTAAATGAATAATCAATATATAACTATATGAGCAAAGGGTGTTGAACCTTCTATTAATGCCAAGACTAATGTTTCCTCTTATCGTCAACTATTATTAAATGATTATTATTAAAATCGAAAAAAATTGAAAAAAAATTTATTTATTATTTAATAACTTTAATGGTCACATGCCAAACCTTTGAACTCAACATAATTTTACATTCATTTTCAATTTTATTTTTTATGTAGATATTTTTTTTTTTTGATTTTTAATTATTAATAGCGATTCTGTTATGGTTTCAGAGTTATTTACCAGCAATTCTTAGCGCTTTGATCAATAATTGCATAAATAACTGCAACAATTATTTGCCAATAAAACTACCGTTTTTATTGTGTTGCAAATGAATGTCATTAATTTGACAACATAAACCGTTAAATCACAGCAATGGACCAGCGCAAAAAAGGGTACCCAATGACATTTTTTATAGTAATTCTAATAGTTTCATTGCAGATTTGCAAGTTCTAAAAATGGCATAACGTGAGTCTTAAATTACGTTTACGGGTGCTCACTCGAACTGCCAACCTTGCAATAAAATAACTTCAATACGAATTCTCATTCGCGTTCGCATTCGCATTCGCATTCGAAATTTGCTACGTGGCCAAAAATTGGCGTAGTAGTTCCATTGCCACGTTTTCGGTATCAGTCACTCATGCGCCAACTAACTAATGCGCGATCTATGAGACGCAATCTGTCTGCTTGTCAGGTACTGCCACTTAACCACGTAGTCATGTAGACACTTAGCCAGTTAGCCAGTTAGTCAGGCAGGCTTTTAGCCATTCAGACATCGAATGAATTAGCCATTGAGCCATTGAGTCACTTAGTCACCAAGAGCGAAGTTAGTAAGTTGAGTCAGTTAGTCTGTCATTTAGATTTTTATATACTCGTATTTAGTCAAATTCATGCGGCACCTCTGATAATTTGCTATTTCTTCTATTTGAAGTGGTGAGAGGGCGGCAGTCGAGTCGGTGGACTTGTTAGTGATGCTGTTATTGCATTTGAAACGCTACTGTGATGCTAAGCGGTAGTAATGATAGTGGCGTTGCCGTGCGGCAACCGATTGAAAAATCGACACAGGTGTCTTTCCTCATCTCGTGTCAATGACAGTTGAATGAGTGACCACTTCGCATTGCGCGGAAAACAAATCTAAACAAATTCAAACAAATGAACATATGTAAGTATCTAACATATGTATGCTTGTATGCTAGTATGCACCTATAAGCTCCGTCTGTTGTTTTTTGCATACGAGTATCACTTGAAAACGTTGAAGAAAACGTTTTGCCGCCGCTGCAATTCGTTTCAATTCATTCAATTCAATTCAACTCAATTTGGCTGTGGTATCGGTTTCAGTTTCGGTTTCGGCTTTGGATATGGATGTGGACGTGGATGTGGATGTGGATGAGGATTTGTGTGGTTCATTGGCTCGAGTCACACAGCGGAGTTTGTCGCACATGCAAGTCGTGACTTTGTAATGCGACAGCACTGACTGGGAGTGGAGTGATTTGTTTTAGGCATTTTGATTGATTGATGTTGAGCGTATTTTTGGCGGTGGTCGGAAATGTTCAAAATTTTGCTTAAAAATTTGTATTATTTGTTAACAGAAAAAATATGTTTAAACAAATTTGTGTAAATAAATTTTTTTTCTCTTCCATTTAAAACGGTTGCAAATGTGTTAATAAATTTTCTGTTATCAAGCGAAATCATTTAGGCCAGTGGTAGACTGTGGTGAATGTGTTTAGCGACTTCAGAGACCTGCTACTGACAATTGTCTTTTTTTCGCATATCACATAAAATATTTTAAATTAAATACCAAATTAATAACTTTTAAAATAATTGGTATGGTCTTAAAATCTATTTCAGTTACATTTATTTAGAAAAATGTTGCTTTACAATTTTATTTTAATTAAGATAAATTGTTAAATATATTGAACAAATTAACAAAGTAATTATCTGGAACAATTTATTTTTCGCGTAATTATTTTCCAATTATTATTCCGACAGCGAAAGAAAACCGGACAATAAAGACTAAGGAAAAATGAAAAATGAGGACTAGTAATATTACACATTTGAAAAAGATGTCCATTTATAAGAATGTCCACATAACAGAGTTTTTACGGTAGTTGGTTCATATACAGCAAATACACAAATATAGTAAAGGCATTTAAAGTAAAAGACTCCATAGCCCAGCTAAAGAATCAAAAATCGCTGCAATAGATAAAATTGTAAGTGAAAAGTGGAAGTAATTTTATCTGGAAAGGATCTAAGAAAACCAAAACGAGTCTGAAGTAGAGTCAAAGTGATTTTACCTACAAACGAAATATTGAATTGAATAGTAATTTCTATAAAATCTCAAGTTGATTTTAGATTGGATAGTTCACCATAGTACAGTATAGTACTGTACAAACTTATGCTATTGTGAATACTTTTGAGGAATGAATGAAATTTTCATACGAAATGAAACAGAACTGTTATTTATCATATGCTTATATTATTTGTGTCAAGTATTTGAGCACTTTCACACTTTCTTAACTCGAGGTATTTTCAAGATCCCTCTTTACGCCTTGACTGGATTATTGTTTATCACTTCATCAGACTTAGCAATAATTGACCTCCCCGAGGATATGAATATAACATATGTGCGAAGTAAATATTTTGTGAAAGTAGTTATAAATAATACTAATTACCGTGTGAATCTATATTTTTGCTTTTGGATTTTAGATAGCTGATTAAGTTTTGTATGAATTCAAGTAAGATTTAAGTTATAGTACTGAATTAAAGGTTTGATTTTTAGAATATTCAATTATATTTTAATATAATAATATACTTTAACTTTTTTCTCCTAAAGTCTTCAACAAATAATAATAATATGAGTAATAAATAACAAGAACTAATGATAACATAGACGATGACATACTAATGACATAAAGGATGCTACGTGTGTGTACATCAAGTATGCAAACTTTGTAATCATATTTATAATAACAGATTCATATATGAGCATAATATTATATATATAATGTTATTTGAGCTTAGTCCTCTGTTAATAATATAAGAACTGACTCAAGTCACAAAATGTTGGAACATTTCTCGAACCATCATATGAACTTTCATGCATATATATAAAAAAATAATTAATTAAATTTATTTAAAAAAAGCAATTTAGTCATCTGTTATTTATATTTCATTTTGATTTTTCAATTTACTTTTTTTTTATATGGCAATACTTTTTCATTGAATGACAAGTTGTGTAAAGTTTGTCTTCCTGTAATAATAGTAACGTAAAGAAAAAAAGAAAGAGTGAAGTAAAAATTTATAAATCTCGTATTAAATAATATTTTTTTGCAAAAGTTAAATAAAAGAAAATATTTAAGCTTATCTTTATAATGAGTCCAACTGTTAAAATGAGTGTTAAAAGTGAGGGAGTAAGTCTCATTCCAGAAGGTTGGGATAATACTGAAGGTCATGACATCGATGGGAAGCAAAAATCCAATACGGAGCTGTGTGTTGATGTATGCTGTGTTTGCTGTAAGAAAATCACAATTTTTGCGATTGGTTCTTGTGATCATCCAATATGTTTCGAGTGCTCAACCCGCCTGCGCGTTGTATGCAAGGAAAGGACATGTCCTGTGTGTAGATGTGATTTACTCAAAGTAATTTTTACTAAATCCAAGCTACCCTTTCAACAACTCGAAGCCGACCGTGGTCCAAGTACAAGTTATGACAGCGAATATTGCATAAAGTTTGTTGATCCTGCTGTTAGAAAAGAATATTTTCGTCTATTGGAACATCGCTGTCCAATATGTAAATGTGGTGCATTCAGTTATTTTTTATGCTTAGAGGTTCATATGAATAGAATACATAATCTTCACTTTTGTGAAATCTGTACGGAAAGCTTAAAATTATTCTCATTCGAACGCAGATTCTATACAAATTCTGAGCTGAAAGAACATATCAAGAGTGGCGATACAAATGATGCGTCACAACGTGGTCATCCAATGTGTAAGTTTTGTCGTCGGAATTTTCTTGATAAAGATGAGATATATCAGCACATGAAGCAAAAGCATTTTTATTGTCATTTCTGCGAAGAGAAAAAATTTTATGCTAATTATACTGAATTGGCAAAACATTTCCGTACACAGCATTTTCTATGTGAAATAGGTGACTGCGTCAATTGTGAGTTTGTCAATGCCTTCCAGAGTGAGATCGATTTTAAGATTCACAAAAGTTTAAAGCATGGTGAAGAGGTTGTAAGTGCTTCAATCGAGGCTCAAAAAGTAGTATTAGAAAATTTATTTGTGTCAACACCCCAAGGCGGCAGACGTAACCACAATCGTAATAATGATACCGGTCCTGAGCCGAGCACTTCGAAACGCATCACTAATAAACCTATTAATATTGAAAGTGAAATCGATTTTCCACAATTGAATAAAAGGTCAACTCCCAATCCAGTCTTAAATATACAGAAAAAGCAGCCACCTAAGAAGAAGGTACTTATTGAAGCATTCCCACCTTTGGGTACAAACCATCGCAAGCGCAATGTTGTCACAGCAGACTTCATAAGAGAAATGCCAACAAGCAGTGCAACTCCTCAAGCTAATGTCGGTAGTGTTTACAATAGTAGCGATATTACCCGTAATTCTTCAATTGCATCGCCTTATACATCTTCAGCGCAGCAACGAAATGCTAATAACGCAACTTCTTCTGGATCTGGATTACAATCACGTGAAGATCATAAAAAATCTGAACAAACTCATAAGGAAAGAAATGCGGCAATAAAAAACAGTTTGCCAAGGCACCCGTAAATTATTTTAAAGGAAGAAAACTCAACTCAATTTAAAAACTGCAAGAAGGATTTTTTTGATAGATATACTAAATTTTATTCGAGGACTTCCAAAATTTATTTTCATTTCCGGAATTGAAATTGCTAGAAAGGGATTCTGATGTCTATGAAATTATACATAAATTTATTTATCTATCTAAATTCATCATGTGATGTTCAACATAAACATACGAGTTTTATAAATAAAATGTTATTTTGTTTCAAAGTGTAATTTTGTTTTTTTATATATCAAGTCGTCTTATTTTGATGTAAAAACAGATAATATCTTCTAGACACATTGTCCTTTATACCTATAAGAATCCATTAATTTTTGGGTTAACTTACCTATATATTATATTGATTTGGATTACTTAAAAGTATTAACAATTAAAGATTAAATATATAATACTCAAGAGGTTTAGTGCTCATAATTGGATCGTTTTTCATATGGTAAATAGTTGAGTCTACAAATATTTCGTTACTGAAACGTTACAACATTGTTTACTTCTGCTCTTTTATTATGGATAGGTTTACAAGTTAAAAAAACAACAAAAAATAGTTTGAGTTAAAAAAAAATAGTATATAAAAAGTAGATTTTTAGGTGTTGAATTTTTAGTGGAAATATTAAATACTTAATAATCTGCTACGAAGACGATTCTTTATTGCCATTATCTGAAACTATTATAATGTAAATGACATTTGGTATAGAAATAGATATGTATATATACATAAAAATATATATTCAATTTTTAATAAGTGATTTAGAGTTGGAGTTTCTTTTAATATAAATTACTTTTTACTCAGTCAAAAACAGTCAATAGTACAAATGACTTGTAGCTATCATTGTTGAATGGCCTCTCTTATCAACAATTACTGTTACTTATAGTTGTCAATTGAATTTAACTATAAATTATAACTTGTAATTTGGTCAAAATGTAACCTTATTTTGGCAGCACATCGGTAAACGATCTATCTTATGTGTTGAACATTATTTCAAATAAAATAATTACGCTTCTATTTGCTGAAATGTCATGTAGCTATAATCTTGACAGTATATCAGTGAAGATACAACCTGATAAATAACTTTATCTTACTCTCTCTCTCTTTCTCTCTCTTACTCTCTCTCTCTCTCTTTTACTCTCTCTCTCTCTCTCATATCCTCATCTCTCAGTGGAGCATAAGGTCTCATAGATGGAATAATTCCGCCTTCGCCCTTAAGAATGACATGAAACTTTGGCAGAATTCCATTGAATGATGCGTTCTATCAATCCGTGCTGTTGCATATCGGTGCCAATAGAAGATATTGAATGATTTAATTCTGTTAATCAACAGTCAAGAAATTCTGAAAGTACATCAGTGAAGTGTTTTTTATGGTCCTTATAATTAATTATAGACGTAATAACTCTGCTTCTATGCTTTCAAATCTGATGAAAGTTTGTAATTGTCTCAATAAAAGTACTTCTTTTTGAGTAGTCATATTTACTTTCTAATGCAACCTGCATAAAATACTTCATTTAATTAATCTGTTATATAAAAGTAACAGCAAGTAAAATTGTTAATAAAAACTTTCATAGCAAAAGTAACAAAATTACAGAAAAATATGCGAACAAAAAAGTCAAGTACGGCTTTGGATCAGTTAGTTAAGGTGCGCTGATTCTGAGCTTTACATTTGGCAGGGCCCGAGTTCGATTCCTGGTAATTGCAATCTCAAAAAATAATTATTTACTAATAATTAAATACAAGAATTATTTCCAAGACCACTGATAATGGATATTTGACAATACTCGAAACAGTTCTATGGTCAGCCAAAAATTCATTTAATTAAAATAATATAAAAATAATAATTTTTGTTGTTGTATTTCACTATTGTTCGAAAAACCTCTTTATAAAAATAATAATAAATTTTAATTTCTAAACTTGAACTTAAGTTTAGAAAAATAGTTGCAATTATATTCTATGGCACCTATTAATCGATATGACTTCGATATGTTTCAGTTTCTGTAAAAGTTTTTTTCTGTACTCACATGACAATATATATTCATAACTTAAAAATATTTGTCTTTCAATTTAAAAATGTTAATTGTTAAAATTTCTCTACTGTGCTTTCCCCAGTTCACAACAATGAAAAATTGAGGCCCGTATCAAACTCTGAAGAAACTTGCGCATGTGTGCCCAAAGCCCCCACAAAGAAGTCGGAATTGTTGGAGGAGAACTGTGATCCGCACTCTGTGCATAAAAGGTTTTTGTCTTGTTGCATGTTGCACATGATAGCTGAAATTGTAATCAATCAATCAGAAAGATACATAATAACTCAAAAGCCGTGTTCGAATTGTTTTCACTGAGCTGTCATGTTCCTTCTCATTATTATTATTGTTAGATTTAATGCATTAAATCGAATGCGATATTCAGATTCAGATTTCGAATTTTTCTTCTATGAGCTCTACCAATATTTTAGAGAAAATAAAATATTTAACAAGAATTTAATTGAGTTGCATGGAAATTTTACTTGCGTGCTGTACAAGGAAAGAAAGTACTGCTTCAATCGAATGTCAAGTGTCTTTATCCAACTGAAATGAAATAGTTCACATTGATTTATGGATGCGAATGTACAAAATAATTTGATTGCTCCACTTAGGATTCTGTTATGACAATGAGTAAGTGACTGATTGGCAAAATGAAAATCTTTTCCAGAAAAAATATTTCTTAATTTAATAAAACTTTTGTACAATTGTAAAGACGTGATTTTTATAAATGCGAACATTATATATAATTTATTAAATTTAAAACGTTAAATGTTTTATTTGGACGAAACACATAGTCTGTTCTAGATTCAATTCGATTGGTTCTATGAAAATTCTAAGCGCAACCGCACCTGTGAGTCATTGACGATAGGTTTATGGTATATACTTTTACTAGGCATATATACTATTTATATATTTATTTTTAAAGAGGTTTTCGAACAGTAGTGAACTACAACAACAAAAATTCATTTTTACTTTATTTTTATTTATTGAATTTTTGACTGACTACACAACTGTTTCGAGTGTTGCCAAAAACACATCATCAGTGATCTCGGAAATAATTCTTGTATTTGATTTAACAAAAAAAAAACCACAAAAAAAAATAAATAAAAGGAAGAAAATGAAACTGCGGTGCATATATTGTGTCAATGTCCAGCACTGACAAGTAGGAGGAAGACTGTCTTGGAACACCATTGGGTTAGTGATGACTTGGCAGTAAGCCTCAAGCTAAATGAGCTGCTTGCATTAACAACAGATGTAGTTATGCGAACGGTAGCCACTCCCGCTTCAACTCAATAACGACACCAGAGAGTCGAAGGGCGAAAAAGGACCCAAGTAGTTTCGTGGTCTACTTCGGCTAATCTTTCACTTTGGTGTGGCCACTTGTTGGACAATGCGATGTCCCACAATATAAATAATTATTCGTAAATAGTGCACTCGTGCCCTGACAAATTTGAAGCTCAGAATCAGCGAACCTTAGACAACTGACCAACAGCCGTACTTGACATGTATGATCGCACTTTTTTCTGAAGTTTTGTTAATTTGTTGTGAAAGTTTGAAAAAATTTACTTGCTGTGTTTATATGAGAACGAAATCAAAAACCAGTTGTAGAATAATAGTACTAATTAATTATATTTTATTTTTGTATTATTATTGAAGCATATTCTTTGGCAAAGCTTATAATGCTATTCAGAAGAAGGTCTTGTACTTCGCCAAGATCCACAAAAAAGAAAGCCTCTGAAGTGTTAAGGCAGCACTGCGCATGTATCGCACAAAGGCAGAGCAGATGGGAGACACTTTTCTCGTCCTCACCATAATTGCGATAGATATGTTGGAAACGGAGATTTAGTCTCCTAGCATGGTTACCCATAATACAATGATCTGTAAATTCCAATGATTAAAAATAATTAAAAAAATGTTGTTGCAGTTAAAAAAAATTTTAAGATAACTAGGGCTGTGTGTAGTTGTTTGTATCAGTATCATCGAATCTCTGTGTACATCTGGTAAGATTTTGGCTTGTTGGCTTTGTCTCAAAGAGCATTTGAACCCAACTTTTTTAGCTGGTATATTTGTTACTATTGAACAAATCAAGTATTTTTGGTAGTTAAGACGAGTGCGTCATTATTTATAGCATTTATGCCAACAAGTTGCTATTGATGACTCTGGAAAAGCACTATGTCAAGACATGAATGGACATTTTGAGGACCTTGTCGATATGAAAATGTTGGAAACTTATGAATATTAACACATTTTTTTATTCATATTGAAGTAAGGTACTTTGTTTTGGTAAGTTACCATAATTAGTAGTTCTGTGTCGTGGTTTGGAGAACTAATTATTTAACGCTGAGTAGTCAAGTAGATAGTGTTAGTTAAGTCTTGATAAATGTTGAAGGGTTGTAGTGTTAATTTTATACACATTGCTACGGTGATATATTTTAAGAGAAATTTTACTTTTTTGTTTAAATAATTTATTTACCTTCATTTATTATGGTAAATACTTTTTAGTATTTATAAAAAAAAACAAAAAAATGAAGTTCTCAGTCACGTTTTTGTTGTCTTTCATTCATAAATTTTGTGTTTTTGTTTCATTGTTTAAATAAATAACAATTTTTTATTGCATAAATATGCAAATTTTGAGTACAAAAGGAAGAACGTACGGAAGAAATACTTAAAGAAAATTACAAAAAAAAAAAAAAAAAAAATTAAAATGAATAAAAACGCAAAAGAAAGAAAACGACTACAAAAGGAAAATTATGTCGAATCAATGGAATTTATATGGTTTTGTATTAATATGTCTTACATGTCGAGCCTCTGATCTGATATCTGCAGCAAAATTATAAATTGTTTTGAGTTTTATTGCTAAGTGAAATAGCAATAACGACAAAATGGCATTAAGTGCTGCCAATGCTACTTCTACTACTGTCATAACAAAAACAACAATAACCGACAAAATAAATGGTAA